GGGGTGAGTGCGCCTGTAAGGGAGGCAGACTGGGGTTGGAAGGCTTGTGCTGCATCGGAAGGGCCCCAGATGGGCGGTGATGTAGGAGATGAGAAATAGATGTGTGTTGGTTCCCACGAGTACCGTGGGGAGGAACTGCAGGGTGCTCCTGGAGTCCACAGAAGACCCCTGCTGCAGCGGGGCTGGATGCAGATCTCCGAGGCGGATCTCAGGACCTCAGTGGCTTTGTCCAGACTCCAGGCCACGAGGGGGAAGGTGCAGCGAGTGCCTGAACAGCAGCGTGTTGGGGTTTGAGCTCCTCTTGAATGGATTTCTCTGGGCTCCCCTGCCCCTCCCCTCTCCCTCTCCAAGGGACCCTAGTTATAGCCAGCCTTCTTGGTCTGTCCGCTCCCGTGTCATGGCTCGCTGATCTCTTTTATGTCTTAAGCATGGCCGGTCATATCCTTGTAAGTCTGCGATGGAGGCTGTGGCCTCTGAGTCCAGAGCTCTGAGTCCAGCCCTTCTTCTAGGTCCGGGTGGTGGTCACACCAATGGATGGCTTCTTAATGAAACTCAGACATTAGGGAGCAAGACGACTATTGTATTGAAGGTCTTCCTTTCATGACTTAGGATAAAAATGACATACAACATTCCAGAAATGACTGAAACTTTGGAGTTGGAATCAGATGAATCTGTGATTCAAATTCTGGCTCTGCCACAAGTGGCCTTGGGCTCCCTGAAGCTTTCTTTCCTTAACTGCACGTGCAGATGAAGTGATGCTTGCCAGGTGTGCAACACAGAACCCAGGATATACGTGATCAATAAGGAGCAGCTCTTGCTATTATTTTTTTAATTTTTTTTTTAAATCACCTGAGGATATTTTTTCCATTGCTTTTCAGAGAGAGTGGAAGGGGGAGAAAGAGAGAGACATCGATGTGAGAGAGACACATTGATTGGTTGCCTCCCACATGTGCCCTGACCGGGGCTGGGGATTGAGCCTGCAACCGAGGTACGTGCCCTTGGCCAGAATCAAACCCAGGACCCTTCAGCCCGCAGGCCAACCCTCTAACCACTGAGCCAAACCAGCCAGGGCAGCTCTTGCTATTGTTAATGTTTTCATCTCAACTGAATCATTTTTGGAAATACTTGTGTTAAAACTGTCAAATGATCTACATGGCCCAACACTGAAAAAAAGTTACTTATTAACAAGCATTGAGAGGTACTAAACTTTTTTGTTCATAAACACTTTATTTTGTAGACGCCCTAGAAGGAATTTTGGGTAAAACAGATTCACTAAAGATTGTGCAGGTAAGGGGCAAGGGAGCACACTGATGGGGAAACATTTTACAACT